TCAGGTAAATATTTAAAAGTGCTTGATCAAGCTCTTAATTTTCAAGATGACCTCTAAGCTGATGTGTGCATTCCACATACCATTTAGCGATTGCGAGGTATCCTAAGGATACAAACACTACCACAATTAATTTGTTTAATTTACAAGTAATCTCTAGCTCTAAGACACTCCTCCTTGTGACAAATGTCTATTTTTAAATCGATTAAGTCAACTACGCAACCAACTAAAGTTTAGTCTCCACGGTAGTACTTTTCTCGTTGGTTTTAGCTCTTGGCCTAGGTGCTGCTATGCGTGTGCCGAAAATCACTCTCCTGATCTCTTGTCTGAACTGATGGTTCAGGAGGGCATACAGGAAAGGGTTGACAGCTGAATTGAACAACACCAATATGTCGACAATGGCAATGTGTACGAACGTCACTTGAAGGGTGGTAGAATTCCTTAAGACGTATTCAACCGACTCTGGTCCCCAACAAACTGCGAAAATGACACTGACTGTTATAACCATGAAAGTGATACGTTTTCGCACCCTGATCACACCCTGTAAATAAAGAAGACAAACATAGTCATTCTAAAAAAATTTTGACAATCGATTTCTTCATTTCTCGTCAAGACTTCTTTTCTGCAAAAATCAAAGCAAGTGAACGTGTGATCTATGAGAGATTTCCTACTTTTACTAGTCCTGTCTTGGACGCCGGAAGTTTTCATTTAATCTAGGTTTCGTTCAAAATAGTATCTTACATATTTTTATTGAAGGTGATGGCATAGAAGAAAGACTACAATTGGGCTATCGATTATCAAGAAATGCCTAAAAAAGGTCACCGAGATGTGGATCATCTGATCAAAATGAGGAGTAAAACGTTTTAGTTCCCGAGGTTAGTTATAACGAATAGTAATATACGTAAAAAAAATACCCGCGTCTGATTGGCTGAAAACGATTGCATTTTTCATGTAACACGAATGCAAAGTTGTTACACGAGTGCGAATTGCAAATAGCGTACACGCACCGCCAAAATTTTGTCCGTTCCGTCTGAGTATCATTGGAACAAAACCGAAGAAAAATACCTTGCACTATTAGTGAAGGGGAAATGTCACGAAAAATGTTAAAGATGAGAACTTAAAGGTAAAACAAACCGTTGGGAGAGTGGCACGAGATTTTCTTGGAATTTTTCGCCATTCATTTTTAAAGCGGCTTTATGCCATGTAGAATTAGAGAAATTAAGTTTTGACTTAAGCCCTTACTTGTTGTTCAAAGCTTAAAGGAAAGCAACTCTTTGGTTTCAACCATAAAGAGCATACGACTTGAGAGTAAAGAGTAATCATCAAACCAATAGCTGTCACAATCAAGAACACCCATGATAAACAACTGGCTGTGGACATCCATTTTTCAGGCCAGCTTAGCACACAATGATTTGTCCCATCTTTCCTCTCATAAGTACGGGCAAGAAATAGAGGTATGTTAAAAATCACCGAGAATATCCAAGAACAAAAAAGGATCACCTAGAAAGGTAAGTGAAAGCAAAAAGTGCGAGTGAGTGTTTTTGAGAATGAATAACAACGAAAAATATATAAAAGTTTCTTGTTTAATGAGTCACTTCTTTGCACGCAAGTGCTCTCACGAATAAATTGCATTTTTCACTGGCGCCAAATTTCCGGCGCTACTTCTGCTGATCTGGGAAACTTATTAATTTTCATCTCGCTTTTACACGAGTTCCTTTTCATTTCCCCACGATGATTCCTTTCATGAGCCTAGTCAGTTTTCGTAGCCTGTATACGCACAATCATTTCTCCAGATATCAAGTGGCATTGGCAAGCTTACGAGAAGAACGTAACGATAGTATACGGGAATAGGAAAAAAAACACGTCGTAATAGTACAAAAGTCAGTTAAGCTGAGGGGCAACCACCCTCCTCCAGTGTGCCACCAATTTATTAACAACTCACCTTCAGTTTACGCTTAGTCATTTTTCTATTTGGATCCATTGGATATACTACAGTATAATATCTTTCGACGGCAACCGTAACCAAAGTAACAATTGAAGAAACTCCAGCAATCCAAGCAAAATTTCCGCCAGTCACCAACTTGCACAGGATGGAACCTACTGCTCCCTCTGGGTGGCTCAAATTCAAGCCGAAAATAAGTTTTGTTGTAATAAACGTCGCAAACAGAATATCGGAGACAGCCAGGTTCATGAGTAAATAATTTATGGGAGTCCTTTGGAGTCAAAAAAAGGTAGACATGATGATAATGATGATGCTAGATTTTAAAATATATAAGCAAGCAAGAAATCTACAAGCAACGGTCTCAATCTAATTATACCAAAAAAAATAAAAACGCACCAACTGGACTGATCTATCATTACCGGCGACTTACCTCATTTGTCGATTTCTCTTGATAATCAAACAAACAACTATATTGCCTGTGACGACCAAAACGACCAGGATCAAGAGCACAGTGGTAATCACGATGGAAGAAACCTCGTACTTGACCATAGTGACTCAAGAGTTAGTTCTCTGCCAAAAAATTATCAACACATGCAGCCATATCATTCGGTTTTTTTTTTTGTTATTTCATGTTCGCAAGTAAACGAAAGCTAAGTTGGCATGTTGCAAGCAACCCACATCATGTTCTTTAAGTTTCATTTTTGGTGCCTTTTCGAGAATGGACACGATCACTTCGCTATAAATGAGGACGGTCTGAGAACTAAAAACCTTTCAGCTTTCAAAGTTCAACCAAAAATTAAGCGGAAGTAGAATAAGAAACGAAATAAATAACGAGATAAAGAGACATATATCGCGATGCTTTATTGAAGTCAACATTTGCTATACTTTTATCGGGTTTTGTACTATCTGTCCGACAGAAATACAGATACAACTGATCTAAGTTCTATTCACTAAGATGCAAACGTCACAAGATTATCACAACATTTTAATCATATCATTAAATAGAACTAGGAACGTCTCACCTGTTAAAAATCGAAATAGCGTTATCTTGAAATCAATTAATCTAGTGAAATCCGTTAAGGATCTATCCAATTCAACGATGGCTTCCACTTCTAAAACAAAAGACTTTTGGCTGAACAACGGGAAATTACTTCAACTCTTTCAAACGAATAACATCATGCGATACCAATTTACGCCTAGCTCTAAAAACATGAATAAGATTAATGAAAGTGTAATGACAAGAATCTTCGCTTAGAGATGATACAATCAAAACGGGCCAGGCCGTTGATATGTGGGTTACAATGTTGCACATACAGGGGCTATTGTAAAAAACTGCTATCTGGACTCGAACGTTCAGATAGCGACGATGACGACTTCTCAGAAAAGTCCGATGCGATTTGTAAATTTTCCCGGCTACATGTGTAAAATTTCGATGAGAAAAGTGACAATAGTTCACAAAACGAGGTGATATATGTAAAGGCGCACATAAGCAGGTATCGTTAATCCAATGAGGTGTCCATATCGTAATTTCATGACCGGTTATCTATCACTTTTTGCCTTAATATCTTAAATGCTTCATGCAAAACAATAATAAGGAAGTGAAAGAAAGAGCTTGAGACAAATATAGATATTACCGACATGTAAAGAAAGCAGAATTTTGCACATGCCGAATCAAGAACGAGGAGGTGTTGCACTTACCTGATCTGGAGAAAACTTGAGGAAACGAACACCATATGGCTGAAGCGTTAGAAATCATACAACGAAAAGTCTTGCTCAGTAGACTAATTGTTTGCTATTAGCATGTAATTTAATCTCAAAAGCAGACATCATGGTCATTATTGACATAAACTTCAAAATAAATGGATTCAGCGGGTGGTAGTCTCATACATTATCCGATGCAATATGTCGAAGCGAGTGTACACTAAATTTACCCAGACGCAAATCTTTGAGAACGTTTGGAAAAGAACGTAGGATTAAAGCTGAATATCTGACTTACGAAGTAATTTTCCGACAAGATTTGTCAAGGTGCATTAAAAGCGAGTCATTGCTCCTTTCAACATAAACGGAGCTTTTTCATTTTTCTTGCGAAGGCTGTTTTCAGCGCGCTGTTGCTTAACACAATAATACGATTTTAAAAGATATGGTTGGAGACAGATTATCTGCATCTTGCTTACGGTGTTTTGTGGATAATCATGCCTCACCTTTCGGATTATTTCTCTCAAACATAATGTTAAAACGAGATTTCCTTTTCTTTATGCAAGCCTTGATACAAAAACATTAACAGCCGCCTCGAATCTTAATTCTGAAAGCTGTCTGTCGATTCACTGTCTAGCTCCTCAGCACATTTTCCAGTCTTTTTCCATTTTTGCCACGGGTTTTTCCTTTGCTTTTGGCAACTTTGGTCATGATTGTGTTGTCCTCCTCATCGCTCCACTGAGCGATCGAGATGGAAAAAAAAAAGAAAAAGGAAAAAAACGTTTCTGCAATGGGTTCTTTTTCCTAGGAAATCTTGATCCATCGTCATTGACGCCAGGAGGTCCCGTTGTCCCATTGGTTTGCAGTTTCAGGAGGCGAGATAATCTCCTGACTTGGCGAGTTGTTTGCGAACCTTTGCTATGAGCTAAAATCTCGCATTTGATTTTGGGCGGAATACAACCACTTTGAACGAATTTATAGGGCATACAGATTTGTCCGATTCTCGTCAAATTATCCCTAAACATTATATTCCAGAAGTAATGACAAACGAAAGTGTGTCGGGAAATTTTGATATTTGAAATATTTTCCCAATGACGTCCATGTACGTAACACGCCTCACATATTTTTAGCTACTCCAACTTTAGATGCCGATATCTAGACGCCGATATCTAGACAGCCAATTAGCATATCCAAAAAGCCTGAAACACTTTTGTTGATTGATAACTTGTGAATAAGACTACGCAGCCATTTTACTCGTGCTGCGGGAGAACCGAGAACCGGTCGTTTCACGCCATACCGGCTCCTGACACTTCCTTAAAAGATAAGTCGCTTAAATAATATTTTTATCGTAAACTGCAGTTATTAAGGTTTCTTCTGATATACAGTTTGCTAAGATTTTAGTGAAACTAGCGTGTGTACGAATTTTTTTCCCGAAAGGACACCGCGAAGGTGGGAAGTATCCTTAAAAATTTGTGTTCAAGCGGTAAATATCGAGCTAGGTAACAACTTGCATCGCGTTTCAAGTAAGTTTTATTTCGAATTATTAATGAGAAAATGCTGCAAGTTAGTAAGCTTAATCGACACAAATATTTCTATCGATAAAACCATTTTAGGAAGCATCTAGTCGTAATCTACCTCAATGAGTTTTGTTCGAGAAATTATTTTATTGTTCAGTTATTGGGATTTTCTATTTTCAATTTGACATCATCAAATGTGCTCTAAGGAAGTCTTGAAAAAATATCGATAGAACAGCATCACGGAAGGAATTAATTTTGGAAAGTTGCCAAAGCTGCGAACCATCTAGAATTAACGTTAAAAAGATCTTGTGATCCTTGAAGAAACAAAGTCCCTTACAATGTTTAGTTTCAACACCATGCCACTGTAACAGAAAACACATCTATGTACTGCCTACCTCTTTGTTTTAATATACATACGGAAACTGCACGAAAAAGTCCTCATCTTCACAAAATATAAATAAAAATTCCCTTTGCCAGTCAAAACAAGCTAAAAAATTTCAGACACTTAAAGAGAGGTTCTGCATCGGGACAATGAGACATTTAACAATTAAAGGATGTAACAGGTTTTTGCACATAACTAAGGTGCTGGAGACTCATTATGTCATCCGACATAGCTTAGCAGTAACAGCAGACAATAAAAAAGATAAGGTGAAAAGTAAACGAAAGAGGATAAAGGAATAAAGGAAAGGAAGAAGCACATTTCCAGTTGTCAAAAACCAAATCGATCCATTCAGTTTGTCTCAAACAAGAGGAGGAAGAATTTGGTAAGAGTTGATGCAAAAAAACGGCTTCAACCGTTTAATTTACGGAGTGATGATCGCTTGCAAAGCTGAACTAAAAGAATACGATGCAGCTTACATATGAGTAAAACAACTGCAAAAGATATTTTTTGCTGCGCAAGACAGAAAGCCAAGAGCTTCATGCGTGTAAAACGTTTTTAAATTGACAGTATCTACCTTATGATCGATTTTGTTTCGATACACTTTTCCTTGTACCTTTAGAAATACTATGCCTTTCGTCACTTCCCACTTAACACATTTAGAAAATATATGCCAATTTCACCTCAAACTCTAAGCAAATAGAGCTAAAATGTGAATAAGTAGTTGGCATCAACTTCCGATGTTGGGCTAAAATCCGTGAAAAACCCTGTAAAGTAGTGAAACCTAGGATAAACTTCACATAAAGCAGTATTGAACGATAAACTGTAAAATATTCGTTTAAAGTACAAGATCCAGGGCATGCATATAGGTATACAAACCCTTTTGGCTTAGTTTTGAAGCCCGTTAAAACAATAGTTGATAGATTTCTGGGGCTCATTCACAATATACCGGTCAGACTTTCCCTGTAGGTCCGCAATGTTTGAAATAATAATTATAAAAAACAATCTTACATGCGTTCAAAACATGAATAGGTCAAGGTTAATTGTATATTGAATTAAAGCTTAGTCTCCAGAGCTGTTTCAGCCCGCGGCCTGGGCGCCACGAGGCGTGTGCAACACATCACTCCCTTGATCTTCTGCCTGAAATGATGATTCAGGAGGGCATACACAAAGGGATTTACAGCTGAATTGAACAAAACCATCATGTCAACAATAGTTATTTGAACAAAGCTGATTTCGAGAGATGTGAGAAATCTTAAAACGTATTCGATTGATTCGGTTCCCCAACAAACTGCAAAGATGAAACTGACCGTTATGACCATCAGAGTGACGCGTTTTCGAACCCTCAGCACACTCTGGAAATTGAGAAAAGAAATAAACATACCATTCAGCAAATGGGCTTTTATAAGATCGTCATTTAAAAGGAAAACAAAAATATTCTCGATAATTCCTTCAAGGTTTCACTTTCGGTGAAAAATTTTGTCTCAAAGTTGAGAAAATAATTAGATGGAGATTGACAAGAGAGGAGAATTTCATCTTTCTTTTTTTAGCTTTAACTTGTCTTTTGACTGTTCCGTAACAAGCATTTAATTGTTCATAAAGTATGTCTTAAGCAAAATTAAGTATATGTACGTTCAAGCTGAACGTTTACCAATGATCCTTCCTTTTTAATTTCTTCGCATATTTTTGCCTACCCACAGATGAAAAAAGTGAGGTATCTACATTTGGCAAACAGTTTCCTTGAGTAAAACATGACTAAAAGCTGAGGGCAACTATTTTCTTGCCAAGGCTTTAACAGTAAGTTTAAAATAGTACCCTCGATCAGGTTTGCCAGCAAAAAAGCCTTAGTTAGGGGTATGCTCTATGCATGAAAAAAATAACCATCAGAAAACTGCAATTAGAACCTACTTGTTGTTTATGGTTTAAAGGATTGTTGTCATTAGACTTAAACCACAAAGTGTAGACGACTTTGGAGTAAAGTGCAATCATGATAACAGCCGAAGCAATAACTAACAACAGCCATGCCAAACAGTATGTTGTAATCATCCACGTTTTAGGCCAGCTTTGAATACAATGGTTTTTCTGTTCATCAAATGTTCGCGTAAGAAACTTGGGCAAGTTAAAAACTGCTGAAAATGCCCACGAGCAAAGAACAATTATCTGCAAAATAATGAAATAAAAACGTCAATATCTTTTATTTTCCAAGTTTGGTCCTTTTAGATAAATGATTGCGTGCTCATGGGAATGGGTGAAAGATTCTTTCCCTTTGTCCACATACTCTGTGCTGCCTTCTCTCTGATTCGTTGCTTGAAACTACTATAAGGTCTTATTACGTAACCGGTCTTCAAAAAAGTGAAGTCACTATTTACTGAATCATACTGAGCCACTAATGGTCACTTTGCCTTCAACTTACCTTCAGTTTATGCTGGGTCAGTTTTCTATTTGGATCAAGCGGATAAACCACGGTGTAATATCTTTCAAAGGAGATCGCCACCAAAGTAAAAACTGAGGTAATTCCGGGAATCCAAGCCAGATTCCCTCCAGTCAGCAGTTTGCAAAGGACTAAACCTGCCACTCCATTTGGCTGCCTTAGATTGAGGCTGACGATAACCTTTGGTGTAATAAAGGTTGCGAACAGAATATCGGAGACAGCCAGGTTCACAAGAAGGTAATTTATGGTGATTCTTCAAAAAAAAAAGCGTGTTCAAAAAGCTGTGCATACGATAGTTTTAATTCTTAATGAAAAAAAGGTACATGGATGGAACTGTAAGAAAGACGACCTCTCAACCTGCATTTCTAAAATCTAGGAGTAAATGGACTTGTTTCCGTATTCTTACATTCTGCACACACCTCGTTTGAAGATGCCTTTTTATAATCAAACAAACAAGTGTATTGCCGGCGATGTCCACAACGACAAGTAGTAAGAAGACGGCAGTGATCACTACATGAGTTGATTCAAACTCGATGACCATCTTCTTGTCAAAAGAGGCTCACGTCTCCTAAACTTATTTTCTTTTTTTTTTTATAAACCAAATGAGCTTCAGAAATTGACTCTATCCGAGTTTAAATACAGAGAAGTTATAATCATTTTCGCGTGAAATTGAGACTTAATCACAAAGTGTTCTTTTATGTAGACACATGAAAAGCATGTAGTGTAAATATGTCACGAAAAGTTTGCGTTTGATGTAAACCCGCACGCTTCCGTTAAGAAATAAACATTTGTGGCAGGAAAAAAATCGAATCGCTAATCCCGACCCATAGAGTTAACGGGGCACCTGCGGACGTGCCAAGAAAAAAGAAAAAAACCACCGTTAATTGTCAAAAAGAATTCCCTGCTCTATATCCTTATACCAGCAAATGATATCATTGCTAACAACTTTTTACCACTAATATGAAAAACATTTTGAGATGAATTGAACAAATCATTAACCTTAATACTCAATATTCTAATTCTCTTCACTAACCAAGATTATTAAGGAAAACTTTGGGAAATTATTCTCCACTTATGGATTAGAGTTTTCCTGTACCTGTCAACAGAGTTTACTTTGTATTCGCTTACTAGTCATGAAAAGTGGGATACAAACGTCATATATGGCACACAAGGATTACAGTGCAATATTGCCCGTTTCACTTCCACTGAAAAAAAAGCGCAATAAAAAGGTATTGCTTTAATTTTTTAGAAATAGAATTGCCTTGCTATTGAAATTTCTGTGTTTAGAAGAGTACTCTGTATTAAAAAAAATTATCAAAACCAGATCACACATTTCCGCTCAAAATTTAAATTTTGTCTGAAGAAATTGAAACCATCTGCATAGAATCAACAAAATAGAGTTGTCCAACGTTTCTTTTTCTCTTTTGCTTTCAATGATAATTGCAAGGACATCAAAAAAAAATTTACAAAAGCACTTGATATTAATTTTTTTATTTCAGCGCCATACACCAATCGACACTATTTAGGACACTTATGACCTAAACCGTGGGAAATCGTTTTCCAACGATAGCACAGCTGCTTATCGCAAGCATGTCAGCGAAAGTTTACTCGCGATACTCGCAGATTATTACGGCGATGAACTAACTAATGGGAGATTATATTCCGAAAACTTAAGAATTACAATAAAGTTTACAAAGAAATGATCGAATCTGCAACAACAAAAACATATTTTTTTAACAATTAGACTCTTGTTCACTAAAAAGCAGAAACCTGTACATTCCTCAAAAACTATTTTGTTTTTGTCTGTTTTTTTTGTTTTTCTTTATTTAAAGCACACTGATCACACTCATAAATATTAGGCCGCATTCACACCAGAAAAACACGATTAGTTGGACCGGGTTTAACTTAACGAAAATCAGAAAAAGAGAATTGAAAAACTGAATTTTTCATGATCACGTTAATGTTGATATTCGCGGCCCTGTCGAAATATCCAATCGTTATGCTTAGGTTACTGATGAGTGAACAACTGTCTAAAGGGGATAAATTTCTAAAAAACTGTGGTACTGCGTCGGTGGGAGATTATAACAAGGAAATTTATTATTACCAACGGAGTAGAAAACGTAATTTACCCACCGTAAAGAATTTAAAAGCTAACGTTTCAAGCGTTAGCCCTTCATCACAGCCCTTCGCGGTGACGAAGGGCTAACGCTCGAAACTTCAGGCTTTAAACTCTTTATAGCGGCCAATTTACGTTATCAACTCAGATGATAATACTAAAATACCAAGATTCTGTGTCTGTTTGCATGCACGTTAAAGTCTACACAGTATTCCTCTTCAGGATGACGGCTGATTGTACTGTTTCACATTTCTGTGGAATGCGTTTCCCTGGAGACATGGACTCTCACTCGAGAAGTAAATGTACAACCAAGCATGATTTTGATCTTCCTCCTGAATCTCTGATTTACCAGACCATATACAAACGGATTTACAGCTGAGTTTAACATGATCATCGTGTTGGAAACAGAGTACACCGCTGGACCAAAGCTTTCGGTGTTGAAATGGCTCACGATATAGACAATGGAGTCTGTAATCCAGCAGACCCCGAAGATAACACTAACAACAACGACTGCCAAAGTGACTCGCTTACGTAGCTTCAATACACCCTTTCAAATTAGAGATCAAAAGATGGCTGCAATCAATCATTTTGCTCAAATCATAATTCAAATAGGGGTCGAAGTTTAGTTTTTAATTTTAACAAAAATGCAAAATACGAGTGCTTTCTTAGTTCAAACCTTTTGCTGTTGGGTAAGCTCGCTGTTCTCAGCAGGTTGAAACCACAACCTGTAAACCACTCTGGAATATAATGCAGCCATCACTGTCAAGGGAATAATTGCCATGACGACAAACCAAGCCACATTGTAAGCCCTTGGCATCCATTTTTCAGGCCATTTTCTTTCACAAGCACTGCTTTCATTTATAAATTCAACGACCAAGAAAACTGGAGCGTTCACAATCACAGAAAACATCCAAGCACCAGAAATGATTACCTGAAAAAAATTAATTAATGCATAACTCCCATGATGCTATTATTTGAATAACAACAAACTGACGATATCCTCATCTCCCACATCCACTTCGTTTTAATTCTTGGGACGCATTAACATGAAAATGTAAAGGATTCAGTTTTTATACCTGAAATTATGTGAAACAAAGTGATACTCGGGAGACAGTCCGAAACAATAGTAAAATGGTTCAATAGAAAAGTGAAGACTTTCTTCCTCGGCGCGTCACTTACCATGATTTTGCGTTTGGAAAGATTTCCTTTATTGCTCAGAGGATACATCACCGCATAGTAACGTTCCATCGAAATATTCACCAAAGTAAACACGGAAGATGCGGCTCCTACCCACGCGAAGTTCCCACCAGTTAACAGCTTGCATAAAACTTTACCAGTAACTCCGCCAGGATGGGTGAACGTCTGACTCAAGATGTACTGCGGGGCGATAAACGAAGCAAACATGATATCTGCCATTGCCAGGTTCACAAGAAGATAATTGATGGGAACTCTGAGGAGGTGAAGAAATGAATTATAAGCAATTGACTCTTTTATTTCTTTTATCATCTGTAATATTTGACCATAAGTCCAACGATGTTAGAAAAAGCTGGAACATTATGAGATAACTCTCTCAACAAACATTTATTTCAGTAGCAAGTAAAAACATTGATTGTGGTTCAGGGGTTATGCCTACCTCATATCTCGATGTTTCAGTATGACAATACAGACCATTGAGTTTCCAATGATTCCCACGAAAATCAGAATAGAGAGCACTGCAGTCGTGAAAACACCAGCTGAATCTGTCATTGTGGTTCTTGAACTAAAAGCTACCTGAGCCTAAAAGTTGAACATTGATAGGTATTTTGAGGTTGATGTCTATTAGCTGTTTCTACATCGTTCCAAATTTTTCAAAAACGTGAGTCGATGAGATCACATGAAGTTCGTAAATTTTTCATGTTTACTTTTAATGGAACTTAAATTAGAAAGTACATGTTGAAGGAAATAGCCCGATTTTTTTTTTTTTTTTTAATGAAACTGAAAAGACTTGACTCTCTTGCCTTATAGATAATCCAATTACTGATTACTTTCACTGACTCTTAGATGACTTACATAGAAAGTCGACAGTTTCCTAGATTTTCAGCGGACATAAAGTGATTAATTTGAGAGCGAACTTTCAATTTGGCAATACCTTCTCCAGCCTGAGTCAGAAAGCTTTGTATATTAAACAACTTAAATTTTTTCACGTTGCCGAATGTTTTAAATTGGCTCATAACAATTGTACAAGGTTTGATAAGAAGTGTCACTTACAGCGCAACAGCACGAATATAAAAAAATTTTAACTACCTTTTCCAGACTGCCAATCTACAAGTTGACTCGCATTTCTATCTCGTACGACTAGGTAAGATGAAATGATAATTACCTCTTATAATTTTTTCTGCTCTTCAGCTGGCAAATATTAGGTATCGATTCACTGGACCTACCTATAGGATTTGCGACCATGCTTCCAAACCGAGTTAATTTTTCTTAAACAAAATGGATTTGCATAGTGCGCACTTTTAAAGTAAACACAAATTGGCATAATGTCAAAAAGAAATCATTAAATTCGGCGTTGTCACGGGAAAATTAAAATTCTGAAACAGCTTCAAATTATCTAGAAACAAATCAGTTGGAGTTTTGCCTCGTTTCACTTGCTATAAAGGCGTGAATTTCTTTGCTTCTAATTAAGCAAAATATATTCTCAATATCCGGTGGGCTTTATCCTTAACATCGTTGCAACAATAGCAAAGTGGCAATGAATCAGAGAGGCTTAACTTTTTTCGGCAAACAAAACGACCAAGATCTTATAATATATATGGAAAGCAATAATCATTGGAAATTTCTAGGACAGTAAAGCAAAGAAATGAATGAGCAAAAATTAATTTTTTCTTCTTATTCTTTTTAACAATTTGTTATCATGTAATTGCTTGAGATATTACTGTTTGGGTGTCAGCTGCGCTTATCGTGTTTGAACAAATTTTACCCATTTTTGGGCCAATGTGGTCCATAACCAATTGCACTTAATGTTATAGTTATTGTTGCTTTAGAACAGTTGTAAATGCCGCTGTAATTTAACTATAGATATTAGGAAAGGTATCTGGGTAAAAAGATTAGAAGCTTTCAGATATTACTTAGCAATGATCGTGAAAAGAACCCTTCAGTTTGGCATTATTGTCAGTGGTGATCGACAATAAAGGCGCAAATCACTAGAACATCCATGAAGATATAATTATAAGTATGTCAATTTATTTCAATGTTAGCTTTTCGTATGAAAGCTTGACTGCCACCACCAGCTACTGAACTTCAAGTAAATGTAGGCATTATTATCACTGATAAACGCAATGTATACTTTTAAGTTAACAGCGCACGTCAATAACCAAGGAAATATGCCAATACAAATAAAATATTACATTAAAATCGGCTGCAACAACACTGAAAAAAAAAACGAAATTTTACTGACGATAATAATTATGATGATATTGAGAAAAATTGATGCATGAGAAACGCCTTGATTAATAAAGTGCAAGAAAAATTACTAATTACGGACTATAAACGGACCCTTATTTCCATGAGTGGATAACCTGCTAAGGAATACTAAATTCGATACTGATGAGCTAACTCTAAGCGTGGACAAAGTTTTTCATTGTTTCATCATTTTTTTTCCTTTTAACTAACATTATGCCGCTAATATGTACGTTTTTTTAGTCCATGATGCGTGAGATTTATGCCATGCTCAAAAAATATATATATTTGCGAAGATAGATGAAAAAAAGTAAAAAAAAAGGAAAATGAGCTACCTTCAAGTATTCTTTCCTCCTTTTCTTGAGAGACTTGAGCCTTTTGCAAGGCAACAATTTTCAGTTATATAAGAAAGAAAACAGTCGACTTCGTTCACGATGCGACATAAACTATATCAAATGCACAATATCGTCAAAATCACTTCATAGCCAAACGCAGGGGGAAGACATGCTACCTTTTCAAAAGCAAGTTCAGAAACTTCACTCTCCTTTCTAGTAGAATTCCGGCCCTACAGTTATTAAGCTATTTTTAACTCCACTCCACACTGCTTTTGCAAAATAAGCGAGACAAACTGACGAAAAGATTCAACGCAAAGGATTACACTTTAAACTTTACCTTCGATGAACATAACAAAGGTACATACGTCACTTTTTAAGTACAGATTAAAACGAAATCCTGCATGACTTCCTCCTTTTTTTTTTATTGTGAAGTATGGCTTCTCCTTTCTTTTATTTTATCAAAAGAAAAACTAAACAAGAGACAAAAAGAGTCAACATCTCAACCCACAATTGGGTGGCAAATCTCCTTTTTAAGAACACTTCTTAACTGAACGCCATGAATAAATATCGAGCTAACTGAACTTTAATACATGCCGATAACCATGAATTAATTTACCTCGCAACATTGTGATATATCATCCAACTGCACTGAGTAGAGAGTAAATAACGCGCGAATCAAGTACATTTTTTATTTTCCCCCCTTTATTGCACGGTTACATGAACAGTTGATTATTTTTACTTTAAAACAGGTCAGCTGCGCTTTCAATTAGATGGTATTAAACAGACCAAAATGGACTGAACCTTTGTTCTTGGTTAACAACCCACTGCTCCCAAAGTACCGGCTACAATTCTTGCGAAGCACTGTCGTTATGTGATTGAGTCGGAAGAAGAAGCACTTTTGTTAAAGTTAAATGTTCATCCATGTCTTTAAAAGTTTGTCTTTCAGTAAATTGAAATTTTTTGTCACTGGTGATAAATTATAAAAATAAAAGCTAAGTTTTTCGTTTGTCTCACGATGTAGTCACGTGTGATGTAGATCGTGACGTTTCGACTACATACTGCTAGTCTTCTTCAGGCGACGAGGTCGACTGGTCATGCGTGATCTTATAAAACATGATGTTCGACGTAGAATCGTTGTTTACCAATGTTCCTATCGACGCCGCTGTACAGGCCGCAATGCAGAAACTAGAGAACGACCCAAGCCTTGCAGACCGCACAAAGCTAACGCCTGCACAGATCACTGACCTTTTGACCTTCGTATTGAGATCCACATACTTCCAGTATAA